GATCATTTTGAAGGTCTATGTTTTTTGTCCCTGGGACATAATTAGCTGCCCTGGTTTCAGTCCTGCAATAAACCATGCCAAACTTTTGGCCTACCTACCATTACAGCATGGGAAATGAATGGTAACATACTCACAACAAACGGGCAGGTTTTGCATTAGCACCTTGTATCTTAGCTATTAAGCTGCCCAGTAATCTTTCTAAACTGCTGACATTTTAAAGTAACAATTATGGTACCGGAATACAGGAAGGAAGCAGATGCGATATCATTCTTCAAAATGGTGAGAGATGAGGAAGGAAAGAAAATGGATTCTGGTAACAAGTGTTAAGCCTAAAATTCATAAATAGTCTGATGAGAAACAAAGAGCGCAAACATATAAAGGAGCAGTAGAGCTAGGGTTGTGCGAAACGGCACCATTTTGTTTCAACTTCTGTTTTGACATTTCAACAGGACAGTGTTTCATTTCAAATTTTGTTTAGTTTCAAAACCACTGTTCTATTTTGTTTCGTTGAAACAGTTTTGCTGTTTTGATGCTGTCTCGACGTTTTACCCATAGGCTATAATGGGGAATCACAAAACTGCCTATAACTTTGTCAGTTCTTGCCTGATTCAGATGAAACTTACAAGGATACTAGCCCCTTCTGAGGGCATGAAACCTGGCAAGTTTCAAGGAGGTAGGTGCAGGCGTTTCTGGGAAGATGCACCTCAGGCTGCTGACAAGCAAAACTTGTGACATGGGTGACACTGTGTTAAGGTGCAGGGGGATGAAAACTGCAGGGATGGTAGCCCCTGCTGATGCCATGAAGCCTGCAAGCTTTCAAGGAGAGAAGTGCAGGGGTTTCTAGGAAACTGCACCTCAGGCTGCTCACAAGAAAAACATGTGACGTGTGACTGTGTGTGTTAAGGCGTAGAAGGGTAAAAACTGCAAGGATGGTAGCCCCTGCTGAGGCCATGAAGCCTGCCAGATTTCAAGGAGATAGGTGCCGGGGTTTCTGGGAAACTGTGTCTCAGGCTGCTGACAAGCAAAACTCGTGACATGGGTGACTGAAAGCAGGCCAATTCAAACAAATGCTGCCTTTTATGCTGTTTTTCCATGCCTCCCCCAGAGCACTGGGATTGGAAGGGACCTCAGGGAAGGATCACAGTCACTGGCCAGCTACACAGTCCTCCCTCCCCCCATTTTCCCCCTCCCTCTCCTTCCTTTCTATTTCCCTGCAGGCAAGCCCAGCTTGAGTTTCGAAACTCAAAACGTTTCGACTACCGTTGTTTCATTTCGAGACTGCTTTGAAGCCCTTCATTTAATTTCAATTTCGCTGTTTCAAGCTCAAAATGAATTGGAACAGCGTCAAAATGAAACAGCCAGTGAAATTTCACACAACCCTACTAGGTACACATGGTCCTTGCTTAATGGAGCTAAGGGCTGAGGAGGAAAGACCGTGCAACCAGTGTGGACTTCAGTAAAATAGTTGATGAACTGTTTCATAAAATCATTTCCAAGATATCAAAATTCAAATTGATGTGGCTTTGTCTCTGTCATATGGATTGAAATCTCATGGATTGAAAGGTCATATGTGGAGTATCAAATGCTAATGTGCAGCTTTACAATTTGAATTAGTCTGCTTAACACTTTTATGTAGTGACATTATATTCACATGTATTTACCTTCAACAACATCCAAAGAATGTGTAATTGCTATAAGGACATGAAAACTGAGCCACATTATCTTGATTTCTGTTACACATGTATAGATATAGATATTGATAATGGCACTAAGCACAAAGGAAGAGTTATTGTGTGGGACCTGGATACTTCCTTCATATCATTCTTGCTTTCCTTTTCCTGAAACTGAAAAATATTCTAGCCATAATGGAATAACAGTCAGTTATAATCAGACAGAGCAGATGTTAGTCTGTTCTGTATTCACTAACGGTAAAGTTCTCAGCAATCCAAATATATGGTCATTTAATAATGCAGTAACGTGGATCATTCATACCCAGGTGGTTCACAACCTACTTAATTCACCATGGGTCTCTGAGGACACAAGCTGCCACTCAGCCAATTCCTGGAATTTTCACTTTAAAAGGGCATTGCTTCTCCTCTCAACCATGGCACAGCATCATTTCTGTGCTGCTGAATAGAGAAAGGAAAAACAAGAGCCACAGCCATCAGCTGGAGTACTTCAGCAGTCCAGTGCAGCTGGACTGTTTACTGCTGATGCCTATGCTCTCTTCATTTAGCAAGTGGAACAAATTAAAAGAGTACCTGGAAAATCACATACTATTTTGAACCAGTTCACTATGAATCTGTTCAGCATTATGTGAAGACACTATACATTCTGCAACATGGGTCTGGTCAGTCCTCCAGGCATCCCACACTGCATCTCTCCTCACCCCACCAACACACACTGTTGCAACAGGCTTGCCCCTTCTTTTGGCACTAGTTAGCAATGAGTTTCCTTGCACTGTTGGCTCAATAAAAGCTATCGTTTTAACAACCCACTGTGTTCTTGCTCCCTACTTGAACACAGCCCATCATCATTTCCCCACAACCCTTTGGAACCAAAAAGTGTGAGTCCAAGCACTCCTTCCCTGCTCTCCCTGCTTCCTAGTCAGGCAAACACACAGCAGACTTCAGTTGCTTGCAGGCTATTGAAGTTTGCTGAGTTCTGTTTATGAACAAGAGAATGTAAAAAAGTGAAATCGCCTCCAGCCACAAGTCACCCACGCCCTGGGACTCCAAATGCATGGCTACAAGCACCCCTCTCACCCACTGCAAATCTGGGCTAGGTACCCACTACCTCTCCTGGTGTTAGAGCCACAGCACTTAACACAACTGTGAACCAGTTCCCAATCAGTGACATGTGGGAACAATTCAATTATTGAGTGTATCTGCACCCTTAGATAATTAATCATTTCAATGCTTCCCTTGGTTTATTATTGTAAGTAAGTATAGATCATATCTACACTCAACCAAAGTCAGTAAAAAATGTTCCATTGATTTCCAGGGTTTGATTTGGGTCCTGTAGGATGATCATATAGGAAAATTACCCAACTGTAAAATCTTTTATATGAAAATGCGAGACATGAGGATTAAGTGCTATTCCAAACTCTGTGACTGCTCCATTACAGGCAGAAAGGAATTGCCGTTATGACTCATATCTATGGATCATTTAATCCCATCTCTGACAGTGACTATCACTAAAACCTTCAGAGGAAGATCCAGAAGACTGGTGCAATAAATAGAAGGGGGATAATCTGTCCCTTGTGAAGAGGCCTCCTAATCCCTAGTAAACACAGACAAGATTAAGCCTTGAAACATGAGTTTATATTCCTTTCAAAATGTTGTTAGCAGCTTTCAAAAGGAGGCTTGAATATTTATGGAGCTGAACAATATCCAGAGTCTGGGTTTATGTCAAGTCCTTGATCATGATCATATCTTATTATAATGTCCTTTCACTCAAAGATCCACCCACCCAAAGTTGAATTGTCAAGGGACACAAATAGGAATCAAATCTGTGAGAACAAGGTTGGACAACTCTGGACAGCTTTGGATCCTGTCATTCATTGCTGGAGCAATATTCAGAGTCTTCTCATCTGTATCCCTGCCATTTTCCTTTATAAATTGGTAACTGTGAGCAAAAAAATTGCTTCTGGATCTACAGGCAACCTCACTGGTGCCGTAATAGATAGTTGGACAAAGGTATACTTCCATTTATTTTTTTCACACTTGCTGGGTATGTCAGATCAAGAGAAACCATGACATCACTACCCTATTTTGCTTTTGTACTGTATTTACTAGGGCTGTGTGGTGATTCGATTCGGAGGAGTTTTGGCCCAATTTGGTGGCTGAATCTCTGAATCCGAATTGAATCAGGGGACCAATTTAAAGGTCCAAATTGATTCAAAGCTCTCTGACTCTTCAGAAAAGATTTGGAGAGCTTTGATGATTTAAGCAGTCCCCACTAGCTGCAGCAGGGAGCTGTAGCTGGACTCCGAGCTGGTAAGTACTAGGGGTGGGGGGGCTGAAGGAGTGGGGAGCAGCCTCAGGGCTTGTGGGGCTCATGGAAGAGTACCCCACATGGTGGGGGGTAGTGGGGATCGCCCCCCACCAGGCAGAAATGGTGAGTCTGGGGGGTTTTTGGTGGGTTTTTTTTTTCTTAAAGGGCTCAAGCTGGCCCCAGGTGGGGCACTTATGTGGGGGCTGAGGGAGTGAAGGTGGGGTTGGGGGACTCATGCAGAGCCCCCCATGTGACATGGGACAGTGGGGGGCAGCAGGCGATCACCCCCCACCCGGCAGCACCCCCCATGTCGGGGCTTTTTTTTTTAACAAGTGCCAAGAGCTGGGGCAGGCGGGGCAGCCATTGCCGGGCTGGGAGAGGGGCAGGGGATGGGCCTGGCCTGGCTGATTCAGAGATTCGGCAGCAGACAAATCTCTGAACCAGATTTGGCCTAATCAAATTGGGACAGCGATTCGAATCTAATCGCTGTCCCCGAATCAGCCAAATCTGAATCTGAAGTGAATACTAGCTGCTTCACACAGGCCTAGTATTTACCCTGTAGTCTCTTGCAGGGTTACCACATAAGACTGATCTTCTGGGTGAGAAGGCATGGATATGTACTCAGGTTTTTAGAGTAAATATCTTCTTCAATATAAGACCTGTCTGGGGGATTCATTGTGGCCAGAAGGCTGCTAGAGTGCTTCTTTGAAGCATGAGTGTGTATAGAGATGGTAGCTTCTGTGTACTATGGTAGTACCAGCCTAACAAGTCTGCTTTCTGGCTTGCCTGGGAGGACAGGACTGGCTGTGCTAAGGTTATTTTCCATATTGCTTTTGACTGAGCTCATGTATTATCCTTTTTAAAAGCCATGGGAGATTTTTTATGGTAAGGTGATTTATAAATGAGCTTGTATTACAGTGTATTAAATGACTTGCTTATACATGATTGCTGCCAGAATGAAAGCAAGCCCTACTTGTTAAATGCTATTTTTTAATCTCTCTCAGGATGGATTTATTGACTTTTTGGAGTTCATAGCAGCAATAAATTTGGTTATACGAGGGAAAATTGACCAAAAACTGAAATGGTATTTCAAGCTATACGATGCTGATGGAAATGGATGCATTGACAAAAAAGAACTATCAAACATATTCAAGGTAAGCATGTTTATGCACAGTAGCAATTGCACTTGACGTAGCACATTACCTCTGAAGGACTGATTTGTCACGTGCTGTAATGTAAATAGCTTAACTGTGTTACCAAATATTTCAGAGTATAAGCACTGGATTTCTTTGCCTAGAAATGTTAATTTTTGTGATTTAAGGTGCATGTATCTGAGGAGTATTTACCTTCAAGCCTTACTTCTACAGGTTTAGCACTTTATTCAAAGCAAAATACTTTATGTGAGTTATGTGCAATGGAGATGTTATTTTGATAAACTATACTCCAGTGAAGCAGTATAGCACTGCAATAGCATAATGAATAACACAGCTGGTCAATATTTTTTTTCTTTACTTTTTTCCATAGAAAACATGGTCTTATCAAACTAACCTATTCACAAAAAAATTATGGATGCTGTCTGAATTTTCTTTTTTTGTAAAATTCTCTACACTAGTCTTAAGATTTATTGAGCTAGGCTGGTTAAATTTGGTTGCTGAAACCCCATCACAGAATTTGGAAACTGAATAATAATTTTTATGAGTATTACATAAAGTTTCACAGAAAATGGATCCATTTCAAACTCTGAAAAACATATTATTATTACACTTAGAATAATTTCCCCATTTTCAACTGACTCTGCTAACTAACCCTTCACACTGGAATAATTTGAATACAATTCCAGATCCAAAATCCCTGTTTTAAGTCCTCATGATCTAGATTGCAATTGCAGTGATGCCTTCCTTTTAGATTGACAGCCTCTTAATCAGACTCAGGTGTTAATAATGGGATAACAACCTCTCATCAGTGATGCAGGATTGTATTCTGGCTGCCAGTGAGTATTGCTGAGCACTAATCCTTTTCATTCATGTTCAATAAGCATCTGAAAAGCTGTCTCACAAATATTCCTGAGACTGTGTTCAGTTCCTTTGCCATCTTATCTGAGTCTGCACTGTTCCCTCCTAAGTGAAATCACAGAGGGGAATGCTGCCTTATGATTCACATGACTAGTCACAAACAGCATGGAGGTTGAAATATGTTCATGTTAAGTGTTCAGGATTTACAGGTTCTGTTACCATTGTCATCATTTTTCAAGAGACAGTTGCTTTATAATGTTCTACAAAACAACAGAAGAAAAAAAATAACAGAAATATAGGATAGATAAATAGCTGTAATAATTACAATAAGTAATTATTTTCTACTAATGCATAAATAGCTGTAATAATTACTCTAAATCCTTACTCAGAAAAGCCATACATACGTGCTTAAATGTATGTGCTTAATGTGTTATATAAAAATCAGGCCAGTAGTTGTCATTAGCAGGCATGCTTCCATATTTTAAGTGACCCTGACCATAGCTGGCACCAGCTGTAACAAAATGAAGAGAGAGAAGTGAGATTCAAGAGACCATTAATTCAGCGGGATGCCAGTGATACCCCAAGCTACAAGATACTCCCAATGGTGGATCTATTCTTCCACATGAAATTGGTGAGAAGAAACTTCTGTTGAAGTTAAAAATCTTGAAGTTCCAGGATAATCATGTATTTGTGATCCCTGAGTGAAACATTGTTTTTTTCAGTAGACGTGATTTAGATTTCTCATCAAATGCATTAAACTGTCTAAAATAGTATATTTAACTCACCAAGAACAGAGTGCAGTCTCTATAACACAGAATTCTCTAGGGCCGGATAAAGTTGCTGCTGTAAAATCTAAAGCTTGTTGCAGAACCTGAGGTGTCACATGGTTTGATGGGACCATTAGTAGTACGTAAATTAGGTTTTTAATCCTCCAGGCTCTGTTATGTTGATTACATTTTCAGTCCATGTTTCTGAAGGTTTACTTGAAATCATAGCTATTTTTAATTACTTAGATGTGACACTTCACCTCATCAACCATTCAAGTGCCCCATCTGCTGATGCATCCTTTCCTAAAATGAGGGAGAAAGTCCTGAAATCTCTTCACATCTTTCTGTTTTTCAGGCTGTCCAGGCTATTAATGGCCACACTAATATGACTCCTGAAGAGTTCACAAACATGGTATTTCAAAAGATAGATGTGAACAATGATGGTAAGAGTCTCTGCAGCTTCACTTGATCTTGTCATTGTTTATTCCCAGAAGAATTTGTGGATGGGTGGGAGATAGTCTCATGAAAGAATTGAAACAGTGAGCAGAACTACAGGGCTGAGTCTGTTTTTTCACACTTTTACCAGAGCAGTTACTTCTGGTTTACACCAGCATGCAAAAAACAGGTTTACCAGACATGTTGACTTCATGCACATAATGGCATTAACATGGGACTTCTGCAAAAAAATAGTGAGGGAACAGGAATCCCCGCCCCAGCTCACCAAAATGGGAGAGCTCCCCTGTTGTTAGTCAAGGTGAGAAGTAAACTGAACTTTCCCCTTATTTAATCCCTCACACAAAGGGATTAAATTCACAAAGATGTTGAATGATGCCCTTTTTCACAGCAAAACATATAAGGAGATTATCCCATGGGCATGCATGGATTTATAATGAAGGGAGTTCTTGGGCAAGCTAGTGTCCTCTGACTTCATTGAGCTACTTGTGTGATTGCCTTGACTGGGTCCAACAAACCAGAACCTAGCTACATCTGCAGACAGGCAGGGCCTCCTGATTTATAAAATGCTGTTCCTTTCTTCTCGCTTTTAATTAAATGTTCTCACATACACACATTTCAATGCTCATGCAACCTTTATAAGCTTGGACAATGTGCCTGAAAGTCAGAAGAGAGAGAGAGAGAAAAAGTCAGAGGAAGTTGGTTAAAGGTTAAAAAGAAGAAAGACTGGAGCTGGACGCTCTGGGGGATGAAAATAGGGAAATGATTCGGCAGTCGGCCCATCAGTGGGAGACATTTATTGAGTAGACTAAGTAGCTCTGCAGTAAATGTCTTGGCATCTGCACATGCAGGCCTATTAGGCTGGAGTAAACTAATAAACTCTGCAGCAAGGTAGTACTTGTACAGAAAAGTACTAACCTGCTGTAGAGTTTTTTACTCTGCAGCAGTGCATGTGTAGACGCTGACCTAGCTGTTTGGGACATGAGGGTACTTCCGTGAGGAGGCTGCCTGCAAGCGCTCATGCCCTAGCCAGCCCCTCTGCAACACATTGAGCTGGGTGGAGCAGGCCCGGGCTGGCAGGCTGACCTCCTGGGTCCCCTGCTAGTCAGAGCTGCTTCAACCCAGCCTAATATGCTACAGTCCCAGGTTCATGTTCAAACGGGGCACTCAGGAGCAATAAACTTCAGACCAATAGGCACCAGAGTTTACTGCTTTAAATTAATTGCACATGTAGATGCACGGAGTATGAAGTGGAAACAGTTCAGGGTGGGAAGCTCCAAGCCAGAGGCATCCATATTGGGAAGGGAAATTTTAAGATAGCAGAAGTGAACAGGACAGAAAAATGGGACCACCAGAAGAAGTTACTGGGGATAGATACAGGAACAGCATGCAGAAGCTTAGAGTACTGGATCATCTTTCATTTCTAATCTTATTTATATAATGACATTGTGAGGTGTGAATGAGGAGTGAAGAACATGTGAAGGACTTTTAATTTTCTTCACATGGGATATTTTCCTTAATTTTCTTCACATAGGAAAGCTGCATTCCTATCCTAAAGTCTATTCTGAATGGCAAATCTTGCAGCCTTGTAGAACCCCCCCGGCAATGGCAGCCTTTTCATTTGGTGATCAGCATATGCATAAAATTACCCAAGAATACATTGTAGAATATTAATGTAAAACAACATACTTTTCTAGAGCTGAATGGATTTTTTTTCATCCCCAAATATTTTCAGAAGTTTGGTATCTTTATCTCCCCCCTCCTCTCTCTGGATTGGACCATAAATTCTATCCTGGACCTTGAGAACTTTTCTCACTGAAAGTTTTAGACCCAGTGCATTCCCTGGGAAAACAACTTCATTAAAAAAAAAAAAAAAAAAGAATGACCTCCACCTTCATAAATTTGTAGCATGCCAATGACATGCCATTATTTCCTCTTCTACTAACAATGTTATACATCAACAAACCCACAACTACTCTTTGAGTTTTACTGCTCAAATATGTGAAGAGGCAACATGATGTTTCTCAAGCCCAGTGATTCTCAAACTTTAGACTTAAGGTATCCCTTGTTAGACTTAAGGCACCCCTTGGAAAATTCTAGCTTTCACTCATCTCTTGACTACAGAAAAATAATAGTGACTCTTTTGTTGTGAAGAACCCAGAAACACCACAACAGGTCCAAATGTTTTGGACACTGAATTTCTATTTGAAATCTCTGGGATTATGTTGTGAATCATGTTGTATAAGTGTTTGTACACCCAACAGTGCTAATGTTGTGAGAGACCCCACAACATCCTTAAAAGGATTTTAGCATACCCCAGGGACTGTGGTTGAGAGTGACTGCTCTGGTTCCTCAATAAGGGGCAGTTTTTAACAATGGTCTTTAGCTTTCAAGGCAGTAGAGGACTGTAGGGTCAAACCTGTGGGAGCCGAGGGCGGTCTAAGGCTATGGCCAGTAGCCCAGACCGTCAGGTGGGTATTTTCCACGATGGAATAGAGTTAGGCACGGAAGCATATTGGTTGTATAAAGAAAGCTTTACTTACACTGCCGATGGTCGCAGTGCAGGAAGAAAACTTGCTTGAATTACAGTTGCACACAAACACAGGGGTGAGATCTCTCTTCGAACCGAATCGAGATGAGCCGGTGTGCAACTCCACGAGCGCTCAACACGGGGGTACATCAATATTTCCACGATGACGGGGAGTGGTTAGAGTCTGATCAGGTCCCTAAGTTCTCCTCCAAGACACACGCGGAGTTTGCTAGGCTCCACAGCGCGCTTAGAGTTCCCCATGAGATGGTTGAGGGGGTCCTCCAACTTGGGCGGAAACTGCTCTAACCTTTTATACGGCTAGCAAACCAATCACTAGCCACCAGGTAGGAATAATTTAGAATTGACCAATAGTGGGACACAAATTTGCATGTGTGTGGCGGGAACTCTTTTGCACCGGGGTTGTCTCTCTGCAGCTGAGAAATCCACCGTGCAAAGAAAGCTCCATGTGGCGGGAAAATTCCAATGTGCTGAGGCACTAAAAATCATTGGGTTATGACAAAACCCAAACTGTGGAGCATCAGTGGTCACTTCTGGTATTTAGAAGGATTTTTTTTATGAAACTACTTAAAATACTGCGCATACTAGTGCAGAACATTTTTGTTGACCAGTAAGCATTGCTGTAGTGGAATAGACCTTGTTTTTCATAATCCTGTCTCTCCAATATCAGTTGGCAATTTTGTACAGTAGAGCTAGGAAGAGTAAATGTAGGGCAAGTGTGCAATTTTCAAGATCCTAAGTATGAGGGGAGCACAGGTCCCATCGAAGACTAATGAACTTCTGCTCCCAAGGCAGCTTAGCCAAAACTTTTGCAGCAAACTTAATGTGCCCTATAGCAGCTTCCTTAAACACTGTGCAGAGTTTTTAGGTGTTTTGTTTTCTAACCCAGAAGCAGTGTAGACATATCTATGTGGTACCACACTAGGGCTAACTAGCCATGTTACACAGCAGTATTAATTAGTCCTCCTGAAATGCGACATCAGTGGTTCTCAACCTTTTTAGACTTAAGGCAGGTGCCCAGTGGACTTGAGGCACCCCTCCATAAAACTTTTGTGAACTGAGTGACACCCAGTTTTAAAAACCAATGTATATATTATAGTGCTTATCTCCTTGCAGAGAGGCTATGCGGTAGGGTTGGGGGATCAGCCAGGCAGGGTCAGACCTGAGCCGGTGCTTATCTAGTTATCTCTTCACACCTTGCTTATTTCCTTACACATTACAACACCCTTCAGAGGATCTGTTGGCACATCCAGGTGTTGAATCACCCTGGTTGAGAATCATTGCTCTACACAGATGTGGCTATACTTGATTCCAGCGCGGGAAGCAGCCCACCTAGAGCAGCACATTCTGCAATACAGTTTGTGATACCGATATACCTTAGGCTCTCTTAATTACCCTGTATTAAATTATTAAGATTTGTTTAAATATTTCACTGCAAATAAAGCTCGTTGTGTACTAATTGGACTGTATCACCAATCTATATAAAGAAATACTTAACAAATAATGTTAGACTCGTGCCATGATTTAGATCCGATATTGAAAAAGGTATCCCAGCATTTCCCTTGATGGAAAATTCCAACTAAAGCTAAAGAGTTGCTTCCTAATTCTGACAGCTGCTCTCAATGCTGTCCTGCAGTGATTCCTTACTAGCTAATCTGTAGCAACTCACTGGAGGCTCCCATGATTGAATGATCTATATTAAGCCTTCGAGTGCCCACCTTTATACTAGCACAAGCTTTACCACAGTTGAAAATAATGTAGTGGTGAACTACAGACGCTGTAGTTGAGCAGGGCTTGCCTGCGTATGTTTTAGTATGTCTGTCACTGGCCTCTGCAGTTAAATTTAGTCTTTGTGCAATTTTCATTAGTTGCTTTACCTTACTTTTCTGCTCCTCTCCCCCAGAACCTGAGACGCTGAACATTCATACATGCCATTGACTTCAGAGGAAGCTGTGGTTAATCAGAACCTATAAAGAAACAAAAGCTGGTTATTTTCTGGCCTTGAGAGCTTGATAGGGCTGGCAAGGTCTGATTTATTTCCTGGTGGCCTGTTTACAAACTTCAAATGAAAAAAACTGGGAAGCTTCTAGGGCCCCTGCCATGTGTTGGCTTAACAGTGATTTCATAGCCTCTAGCCTTCGTTCTGGTTTTTAAAAGACGTGTTATTTCATCGTAGGGGAACTGACTTTAGAAGAGTTTGTCAATGGTGTGGAAAGCGACAAGAACCTCTTGGAACTGATTTCAAAAAGTTTTGACCTTTCCAACGTACTCAAAATCATTCAGAGCGGGAGGCGTCACAGCGTCTGAGAACATCTGACTGGAAGTGGAGTCTATGACAAGCCTGAATATTGCAGGAAGGATAATATGTAGTACTTACAAAAATCTTAATCTCTTAAAGCACTGTACAGAAAATAACTGAAGTCAAGCTCTCACAATAACTTGGGCTTCAGAGTTTTTTGTCATCTCTCTCCTTTCTTTCTCATTAAAGAATATGACAGCTACTGAATATGAAACCCCATCCACATGCAATAGTAAAGCTATTTTTGAGGTACATACAAATGATTTGGTCACATAGAGTAATGGTAAAACAGTGAGAATAGTACAAAAAAAAAAAAAAAATTGAACTTCTCTAGAAGAAACTGGGCTAATGAATTTCTTCTTTTAAAGTACATATTCTTTAACCTACAATTTAAAATGTGGTGATAAACCACTAGATAGGATTGGTTTCCTTCTGGATCAATAAAGAATGAAGTGTGGTTTGCATTAACTAACTTGCACTAATCAGTACTTAAAATAGAGGTGGGATATCTGGGAAACACCTCAATCAGTTTACTGCTTCACAGGTAAACATCCTGTTTGGAAAGCTGTTTACAACTCTTTGCTCGATTATACCTGTAAATTAAAATGACTTAACACTTTGATTTTTCAGAGTTTTATTTTTAATCCTAATTTTCTTCTCAATTAACCTTTGTAGAAGCACTTGAATTGTATAGTAGCACTGCTCTTTGCAGAGTAGTAATAATTAGAAGTTCAGAGGAGTGTTTTAAATAAAAATGCAACCCTACTTTATGGATAAGATTAATTTCATGAGCAATAATGAAACTGCATGAGTTGATGATGGAGGGAGAATGATAGTACTCTCTAGTTCCATTGTGAATTGAATCTCTCCCAAGTCTGCAACAGGTTATCAAATTACAGGCAATTGTATCATGAGAATTAATTCTCATTGGCTGATCATTCCCCAAGGGCCTGACACTTCATGCTGCTTTTTCCTTAGAGCTCAGGCCTCATGCAAAGTAACTCTTGCATGGATTGCATAACCACCTAGATGAAGGAAAAAAATTATCAAGGTTTGAAGATGGAAATATTTTTTTTCCAAGATTCATTTCAAATCTGGGCCCATTTGCACAAGAAATGTGCCATATCATCTGTAATTATTATACCAGCAATTGATTTGATCAATAGAGTAGACAGCAAGGAGATGCAACAAGCATCACTTGACATTATAAACAGTCCTGACATTATAGCTTTGACATTTAAATCTTTTATATTCCTTCCAAAAAATGGAATGATGAATGAGATTGCTGGTGGGTTAGAACTTTAAAGTCTTCTATTTATTCATCGTAGACACATTAATATGTCACTGTCAGTCTCCATTTTTTTCTAACTGAAGCACAAAAAGAAAACCTAAGAAAGAAGATGAAGGATATTTCTGGTTTTAATGGAACTTATCATTCAAAATATGGAGTTCAGTAGTAATGGTGTAATCTGATCAACTAGGGTTTAACTTAGATGACCTGCTGTTGTTGTTGTTGTTCTCTTAAATAAGTGAAATGATCGTCCTTGAAAAGTGACTAACATACATCTACTGTGACATTATTCTTCCTGAGGGGGCTTTACTATAAAGAGATTTTTTTTAAAATTGCCTAACTATTATATGTAGCTGTAATTACATGATGGAAATTACTTGCTCTAAAGGAGTGTGATGGTCTATTAAAGGAATATTGCACACAAGGAAATTTTAGTCACCTTTATATTAAACTAACCTTTAAAGGAGCTGAAATGCCAAATCCTATACATTAAGATACTAGTAAAAGGCTGTCTAGCATAAACCCATGATAATTAAGAGACAATTACCATCTTCTTGTTTTGCATAAGTACAGCAGCACGAATACCATTTCAAAATTCTACTTACCCTCAGTCTCTGCAGTTGCTCTCCATTCGTTGGGGTAACATACATAAAATGTGTATATATAGCATCTGTTTTTTGTTGGTTTTTTAGTTGCTTAAGGTATGTAGGTCATTTGTCACATGACTGTATGAAAAAATATATTATGAACATGGGTGTACTTTTCCTGTTATCCTTTTGAATTTGCCAGTGCTTCATCCAGATAAAAGTGTAAATGGATGATGTCCTAAAAGAATGTAAATTCTGACTGTCCAGTAGCTTGATCAGAGCTAATTTACAACAGCATATATAAATCCTATGAGGGATGTGGAGTGATACTATAATAACGTGTGTCTGTTGTGTTAAGAGACCTGGTCACTGGGGCATTTTGCTATAAGAATATATTGTTCTAGTTGACTGGGGAGCCGTAAAGAAAAAAAGCCAGCAGGAAGCTAAAAACCTGACTTAAACACATTTGGCTGAGGGGGTGACTTTTAAGGGACAAGGGGATATTGGGTTACCCTCTTGCTGAATCCCCCAGATCGGTTTTGCCCCAAAGCTTGGGAACACAGAAAAGCAAAAGAATGAAAGCAGTTTAAACAGTTCTGAAACAGCACTTTAGAAAGAAATATGCCCAAGAAGGGCATTGGCAAGGTTTTCCAAGGGAACTAGTATGAGAAATCTGCTCAGGGTGGCTAAGTCTCTCTGGGTTCCCTTTACAGGATGATAGCAAAGCACTAAGTGTGGTAGACATGTGTAGAGTCCCTTTAAAATCCCATTTTCCTCCAAATATTTTGTTCCTGATATTAAAACATTCACTATTTTGATTTAAGAAGTCTGTTTTGCACCCTGCATGTACCATGGGTCATATATTCCCAAAAAGGGGAAAACTATCCTGTCAGACCCAAGATTAATAACCAGGGTATTGTAGCCAATGTCCTAGTTTAAGAGAGAGAAACTGGTGGAATTTCATTCTGAGAATAGGTAAAAGCATAAAAAAAAAACAAACAAACAAACACACACCTGAGTGCCATCAGAGAGACCTGAAAGGGATCAGAGATACAGCCAGGTTTGTAAACCACCTATAGACACTGGCTAGGGACAGACATTCAAAAAGCCTGAGCCTGAATTGAGTCAATCTTTGCAGGTTAGTCTAACCAGGCTAGGTTGAACCAGTTTGTAACTGGACAGACATTCTCTCTGGTCTGAGGAAATTCAGGCACATGCCTGCAGTGGCTCAGGTTAGAACCAGGGGGTGCTAGAGCAGCCCTCCCTTCCCTTCCACAGTGCTCTGTTGATGGGGGGGAGGGGGGGCAGGTCCTGGCAGGACCTCTGATTAGGGAGGTTTGCCTACACCATCCCAGGCTTTTCTCCACTGGCTGTTCAAAGGGCAGGAGCGTCGTCAACCCCCTGCTAGCACTCTGAGGCAAGGGGGCATGTGCAGTGCATGCATCTGTTGATTATGTGGAGCTCTTCACTATCCCTCTCCCTGCTTCTTTATACTGCCTGCAGCAAACTGACAGGGGGCTGATAACAGTGATTATCATCTCATCAGCAAAACAAGGCCTCTCTTCATTAGTTGAAACTCTTCTTAAACAGTTTACTGGCTGACCTGTTGATTAGCTCCAAATAGCCCTAAGTAGTCACTATTCTGTCTGCTTGTCCCTGTGATATTGTAGTGAGACACACACACACACACACACACACACACCTCTCTCAGCATTAGCTAGCATACCACATGCCTAGAGTCCGTGGGGCTGGGGGCTGTGCTGTGGGAGATGAGAGGGAGGGAGGGGAGTATTCCTGCTTAAGCAGTGAGCAGCAAGCTGGGGTGGTAAGGCAGGTGGAAGCCAGGCAGACCCTGCTGTGTCTACAAGTCTCTGCTGGAGCTTCAGTCAGGGAGCAGAGGGGAAGGGCCAGCTCTGATGTGGAACAAAGAGCCCCACCTAGCTCAGAGAGTATGTCAGGAAGCTGGGGGTGTCTGGTTTATCTTAAACCAGCAAGGGGTCTGGGACAATCATTACATAAACTGGTTTGAGTCAAATCAGTTAAGTCTGATACTACATTCAACCAGGTTTATCTCAAACCAGTTCCTGCCATTTTCAAACTGGTTTACGTGCACTGAACATCTGTTCTGTTACAAGTTTAAACCAATTTCTGATCACTTAAACTAGTTTGTGTGTAATGACTGTCCCTAACCTCTATGCATGACCACATTTAGTGGTGACAGTTCCATGTATGCAGAGTGATTTCAGGCGTGAAATCTAAATATAATCAGACTCAAAGAATGGGCAAATCCTACCCTATCTGAGAAGCCTTTATTAAGTAGGCAGTGTACCTTTGGTCACTGTGTTATCTTTGCTCCCTGAATATGGGATTTTTCCGTGTTAAAATATTGTGTCTGGATATCTTCTTATTCCCTCTGAAGAACAGTAGAAAGCAATTTGTGTTTCAATTCCATAATTTCCCTTTCTTCAAGTAATTCATAGTTGTGTCTAATGTTATTCTTTGTAATGCTTTTGTTGCAATAGCTTAATTTAGTGAAAAACAGATATTTTTTCCTCCAAGAATCTAGAAAACACCTTTGCCTATATTTGAGTATTTGCACATTATAAGGTGTGGAAATATCTATTAAAGTTTAATTAATAAATTGACATATCCTTGAAGAGGTAAGGAGGAGTTCTCATGTGATGTGAAAGAGAGGCCACTGCTGCATTTAATTTTTACCTGACGCTGGAGCAGCTAGTAAGTAAACACTCAGCACTCTGAGTGACCACATGCTGGCAAGAGGTGGAAATCTTCCTGTATGTTTGAGGAAACAGAAATTCCTAGAACTGGCCCTGGATTGACCAAGTGGAAGGGTTTAAAAGTAATCTTAATATTTTTTATCAAAATACCAAATGAAGTGCCATTCTTGTTAATGTAAAATCCTTTACAACCACTGTACTGATTATGGTGACTCTCTCTCAATAATAATAATTTTCTAAAAAGGCATTTGTGACAAAGTTTTAGTATATAGTTTTTTATGACTTTTTATTTGAAAACAGTTTTACCATGAATATGTTGGTGGGTTGGGGTTTTTTTCTATATTGTATGTAGCTTAGTCAAGAAATAAGGTTATAAAGAACCCTATGCAAAAAACCCTATGTTTGGAAGTTATCTTCCTTTGCCACTATTCAAAGCTTATTTTCGCTATCTATCTGTCAGTGATCATTCATATCCAGGTATGGGTGATATCATCCTTGGCTTTTCAGAAGTGTGGCAGTTTCCAGA